TTCTAGTATTAATATTATTATTTATAGTGTAACTATGTTTTTTTTATTCTAGTAATAATAATAATAATAATATCGAGCTTTATATTATTACCAGAAATCCCATACCGATATCTTAATCTTTGTATAACACGGAGATCTCCATCATCTCTAGAACTGTCCTCATCTGTGCTACAAGAAAATGGCCGCCCCCTGTGCACAGAAAACACTTTGCAGGAGGTTCAGCCTCTAGTATTTGCTCTGAATTGTTGGATATTTGCTGTCTCCGGCTCTGCCAATGGAAGGTTCTGCTGGCAGGCTTCTGCGCATACGCAGAGAGAGTGTGAGGGGAACTCTGTACTTCTATTGATGGTTCAGTACCAGGGCAGGGTGGGGCATCTGAGTCCTGCCTGTGCCCACTTTCTGCTGCCAGGGGGGTCATTGGAATCTGAGGTAATGCATGGCTAGTCTTATATATTATTGTTGTCACTATTTATTATTATTCCCCTTACATTGCCTTACAGTTATATAGCTCTGACATATACCGCTGTGCTGTACAGAGAACACTGAGCCAGTCACATCAGTCTCTGTACATCCTGAGCGAGCATTCTGCTTTACCGTGATGTTTTCTTGTCTTGTTTTCACCTTTGTAGAGGTCTCATCATGTTCAGCCCCTCCCATGAGGAGCCGAGTCTATACCTGGCCTCATCACTGAGGATGGAGAAGGAACGGAGTCACATGACTGAAAAGATATTGAGCTTCACCCTGGAGATCATCTACCTGCTGACCGGAGAGGTGAGGAGGCTTCTGGGAGGTCACATGACATCACTCTTATCTCTAGTAATAAAACAGACCTGACCGGAGAGGTGAGGAGGATTCTGGGAGGTCACATGACATGACTCTTTTCTCTATTAATAAAACACAGACCTGACCGGAGAGGTGAGGAGGATTCTGGGAGGTCGCATGACACCACTCCTATCTCTATTAATAAAACACAGACCTGACCGGAGAGGTGAGGAGGATTCTGGGAGGTCACATGACATTTTTTTTTTACTGTGTAGGATTATGGACCTGTGAAGAATTCATGTGATCACATGACACCAAGAAGCCACAACTGTTTATCCAGAGAATGGAGTAGGAGCCACAGCTTCAAAATGATGCCTCCATCACCCTACCAGACACCAGACAAAAAGATCTTAGAAGTCATCCAGAAGATCATCGAGCTGCTGACAGGAGAGGTGAGCGGTGCCGGGAATTCTGGGACGTGGTCCAGGAACAGACAAGGGATGTGTCTGGATGGTGACTGTATCATTGTGTGTGTCAGGTTCCTATAAGGTGTCAGGATGTCTCTGTCTATTTCTCCATGGAGGAGTGGGAGTATCTAGAAGGACACCGGGATCTCTACAAGGACGTCATGATGGAGAACCGGCCGCCCCTCACATCACCGGGTAAGAGGAGACTTTCACTTCTTGAGTATTGAGTCCCCCCTAGATACACACATCCTCTGATATAAAGACATAGAAACAATGTATTCAGTCAGTGTGTGTGTTTCCTACAGATGGGTCCAGTAACAGAAATACCCCAGAGAGATGTCCCCGTCCTCTGTATTCCCAGAACTCCACACAGGAACATAATGAGATCCCTCAGAAACATAATGAGATACCTCAGAAACATCATGAGATACCTCAGAAACATCATGAGATCCCTCAAAAACATAATGAGATCCCTCAAAAACATCATGAGATCCCTCAGAAACATCATGAGATCCCTCAGAAACATCATGAGATACCTCAGGCTAGTCCTCTGTATTCCCGGGATTCCACACAGGAACATCATGAAATCCCGGAGAACCATCAGGTAAATGACTTAATAAATACCCAACTGTGTCTACACTTTGGATTGTAGAGAAGCTATGTAATACCTAATACGGCATTGCCTCAATAAATGGGCAAATCTAGAGCAGGAACTTAGTGGGATGAGATGCATATTTGTATTATCTACAAACCTGAGTTAAAAATGTTGCTGATATGTTTTAACTTAAAGGCTGGACCTAAAGAAAATGTCCCATTGTCCTATATAGGATGAGGAACTGGTAATTATTAAAGTTGAAGAAGATCCATATGTGAGGGGTGACGAGGCGTGTAAGGAGGATGATGTTCCTCCAGAGATCAGCACAGGTGAGGAATAAACACTAAATCCAGAAAAGAGTCCCAGATTCTCCTTGTTCAGTCACTACAACAATCTCTTCTTCTCCCTCCTCCTCTGTCAGTAGACAGTAATGGGGGGACGGTATGTGTCTAGTGGGGGGAGTCAGGAGCCATCAGCCTCTAATAGACTCCGTCTCTCCTAATAGGAGCCAGTCTTTGATGCAATGGGCAGCAGGCATGATAGAAGGGGGCAGCATATGTCTAGTGTACAGTATCATTAGGTGATAGACACCTAGATATACACTATATGGCCAATAGCTTGTGGACATCTGACCATCACACCGAAATAAGCTTGTTGGACATCCCATTCCAAAACCATGGCCATTAATGCAGAACTGCCCCGCCCCCCTCTTTTGCACCTATAACAGGCTCCACTCTTCTGGGAAGGCTTTTGCAGGACTCCCCGACTATATAAAGTATAATCTAATTTTCTTGGTTTGCGGTGTTATGATATGTATACATCTCCTGTTTTAAGAAGGCCATGTTCCACGTGGCATAGCCTGGTGGATAACGTAGGGAAGGGTTGAAACCCTTGCCAATTTATTTTTGGGGAATTTGTCTTCACTTCCTGTCCCAGAGATGCACCAGTACAGGAAACCTTCCAAAGTGAAGGGAATAGCTGCCCCCCGAGGAAGAGTTCTCCTCAAACCTTGTTCTGGGGACAACTCTAGAATGTGGGATTTCCTATCACTTTCTTGGTGACAATGGCCACCAGTTCAAACAGAAGGGTAAATCCCCCCTTTCCCACTCCATCCAAAATGTAAAGGAAAGAACAGAGACAATTAATATTAAAGAAATTGGCCGTCTGAAAGGTTTATCGTTTCCATCCAAGGAAGCTCATAACTATAATGTTAGAAGAACACATTACTGGGAGCCTGGTGTCGGGTCTCTCATTCTATAGAATCTCCTCTCGTCATTTCCTCTGCCACCAATTCCCCATTGTATAGGACTCACCTACGGATTAGTTCAACCATTTCTAATCTTCTCCTGTTTCTGCTTTGCCCCAGATGGACCAAATTGTAGGCATAACACAGAAGGTCACCTGATCTCTACAGATGGTGAGATAGAAGACGATGACATCCAAACAGAAGAAAACCCTCTTACCCTACATCTCCATCCAGGACTTCAAATGGCAGATCCGTCATTGGATCCATCTACACACAAGGGGTGTTTTGCCTATCACTCGCACCCAGTGACTAGTAGAGAGGGCGTAACCCATCCGTGTCTTCAGTGTGGGGGCTGTCAGAGGACTCATGTGGACGTATCTTCCCATCCCTGTCCGACCTGCGGCAAGTCTTTTGCCCAGAAGTCGCATCTCGTTGGCCACCGTAAGACTTGCATCGGCAAGAAGTGCTATTCGTGTTCTGAGTGCGGTAAAAGATTTGCCAAAATGTCAACCTTTTTGAGGCATCAGGTCATGCACCTAAAGGAGAAGCCCCACTCGTGCCCAGATTGTGGAAAGTGTTTTGCCAAAAAGTCCAACCTCGTTCGGCACCAGCGTATGCACACGGGGGAGAAACCTTACTCCTGCCCGGAGTGCGGGAAGTCTTTCACGTGGAAGCCGTCCCTTGAGCACCATCTGAGGAAGCACCGGGGCGAGGTCCCGTTTTTTTGCTCCGAGTGCGGCAAGTGCTTTGCCCAGAAGTCCAACTTCATGCAGCACCAGAGGACCCACAAGGGGAAGGAGCCGTACTCCTGCTCCGAATGCGGAGAATGCTTCGCCAAGAGGTCAGCGCTGGTCATGCACCAAAGGACTCACCTCAACGAGAAACCCTTCTCCTGCTCGGAGTGTGGGAAGTACTTTGTCCAGAAGTCCAGCCTGATGGAACATCTCAAGATGCACTCGGGGGAGAAGTCCTATTCGTGCGCCGAATGCGGGAAGACTTTTCAGTGGCGCTCGTCCTTGTTCTACCACGAGCGCAAGCACAAGGGGCTGAAGCCCGTGTCGTGCTCGGAGTGCGGCAAAGGCTTCGCCCAGAAGTCCCATCTCGCCCAGCATCAGAAGATGCACGCTGGGCAGAGGACCACCAATTTCCCAAATTCTTACCTCAAAGAAGAACTCCGTTAAGGTCCCTTTGTAGATGAGCTGGACACACAAACCCTTCATGTTTTTAGAAAGCCTTGAGTATTTTTCTGTGAAAAATATGTGGCCCCGTGCCTCGAACTGCCACTCGGGCATGTGTGGCTTTGAGGTTTAGCATGTGGCCACTTTTTAGCACTGTGGTTTTTGCTCCTCCTGCCATATCTGAGCAAGTTTGGGCCAGGAAAAAAATTGGGCTTCCAATAGGCCCAGTCAAAAACACAGCAGTTGTATCTACAAAGCACCACATGTGTGGTGGAAAAGGTGAGGGCATCACCTGGTATGAACAGGAAGTGGTGTAACTAGCCGATTGTCCCCACCTTCTGCCTTATAGGTGACTTAATTTCAGGGGGAGATGGGAGGGTATTGTGCATGACCTCCAAAAAAAACCTACAGGTATTCAATGTGATTGTCCACTGGCCTTCTGTAGGGCATACACATTTGTAATACTCTTCGTGGGCAGGCTGACACATCCCAATCTGTTTCTGTGCCCGCCCCCCGAGGAGCACAGCTCATCATGTGCATTGGAAAGATGCAACTGGATTAACATTTTTTAACGGACTCAGACCTGCTCAGCTATGACAGGCCCCAAAGGAGGAGAAGTGGAAACACAGAGGAGCCACAGTTCAAATTTCGGCACGTCCTTGCCAAAAGAACCAGGCGATCTTTCTCTAGCCAAGGCAGATATCAGTATATTCTTATACCTAATGTCCATGCATGTACTTGACAGATGCCCCCCTGCGGAAGTTAGTGGGATTGGGCGATAATGACTCTTTAAGGGAGATTCCACTTTTTTTCGGTTGAAAACTCCAGCGGCACCATGGTAATAGTACAACTTAACCAAAACATGTACTGTACCTATAGAGCCGTCACTACCCTTGAATGGATAACACTATATTGTATTAAATGTCATCCCAAAATGAGGCAGGTTCTTGAATCAAATCAACAACTAACTGATAGAACCAAGTCTACAGAGTACTAGCCAAAGCCACCCCATGACGGAAGAGGTCCATTTAGGTGCACTTGGTGGTCATACAACCCTCTTTATTTGTCACGTACCTGGTGAGAGCCTGAGATGACGAGGGCGGCCTCCCTTGCTTCTCTTGTCCAAACACCCCTGGTAATGGTGGACAGAGTGTGTAGGGACGCGCTGGATGCAGGACTTAGTGACGCGCTGGACACAGGACCCACCTGAGTGAACCTGCAGAGCCCACCATAGATGCTGCACAGCCCATCTGAGACTGTCTATGGTGGGCTCTGAAGGGGTCTCAGGTGTGCTTGTCAGGGCTGCATCCCTCCCCTCCCTCCTTTCCTTCCTTCCTTCCTAGCTCCTCTTACCTGCACACATGGCCTCCTCTGCCGCCGGAACGGCCAGAAGTGACGTCACTTCCGGCCAGTCCGACATCAAACGAGCAGCGTCGCTGATGGGGCCCTTGCTTGTCTCAAAGACGCTGGAGCAGCAATGCTGGGGCCCTGCGCTGCTAGGGCCAGGCCTCTGCCTCCTTGCCCTTTACCGTCGGCCGATAGTCATGTAAGGAACCCGGGCGGGCCCCCCAGGCTGCCCGAGCCCCTTACATGAGTATCGTCCATATTCCCCTGATGGCTGCCCTGTAGCCGGGTCCCGATCAGGCGGGCAGCGAGGTACAAATCAGCAAACAGAGGCAGGTTAAGGAGCAGGCCGGGTTGGTAACATGCAGGCAAGGCAGTGTGGAATCAGCAAACGGGAGGAAGGTCCAGTTCAAGCCAAGGTCAGGGGCAGGCAGCAATCAGCAGAGTACAAGAGCAAGCCGGGTCAATATCAGGAACAACAGAATCAGGAACAGAGACACGGGAAGCAGGGTACTAGCTGAAGAACTCTCAGCACTGAGTGCATGCGAGATACAAGTTTAAATCTGACTTTTGGCGCCATTATTAAATGTGAGCGCCGTTGCATGTGCACGCATGCACACGACTACGAGCATTACCAGCACGAAACCGTCTCCCACAGTACCAGTTCTATGATTGCTTGCTGGACTTCTCTGACATTATTATATTCTTTATTGGCAATTTTGTTATCCATCCACAAAAGAAGTGAGTAACATAGAACACATAAACACATGGCACCGACACCATGGCATAAACACTTGGCACCGGTCGCAGGGCGCCCAGCGGGATATTGTTTGATGAAGTTGAGTTGGGCTACAGGCTCCTTGGTCCTCTGATGGTCAAAGTCTTGGGTAGCCACTCCATTGGAGGCAAACACCGTATGATGGACCTGTCTGCTCCAGGACAGGGCACACCCCTATCAAAAGGTGCAAAATCGCCCAGTAAGGAGCCAGTGCAGAAATGTAAGAGGAGGAGAGCGTGGAGGGTCAAAGGATGAAGCAGTAGGGAGAGGAAGAAGGGTCAAAGGTAGGGCTAAAGAGATGCCTGGGGTGTTGAGAGAAGGGGGCACTCCAATGAGTACTATGAGGTGTTAAGAGGGTTCAGCAAGGTTGGTTGGGTCAGTAATGTTTGGAATTATGCACTTGGAAGAGGATCCAGGTGGTCCAAGTATTGGAAAGTTGAGGGTATTGGTCATAAAGGTGGACCATTAGCTCTTCCATACGCATCATTTATGTATCCACTGCTGCATGGGGGGACCTTACGGTCTCCTTATGGGGGATTGTGTGATAGGTATGGATACTAGCTCTTCCATACGCATCATTTATGTATCCACTGTTGCATGGGGGGACCTTATGGTCTCCTTATGGGGGATTGTGTGATAGGTATGGATACTAGCTCTTCCATACGCATAATTTATGTATCCACTGCTGCATGGGGGGACCTTACGGTCTCCTTATGGGGGATTGTGTGATCAGTATGGATACTAGCTCTTCCATACGCATCATTCTTGTATCCACTGCTGCATGGGGGGACCTTATGGTTTCCTTATGGGGGATTGTGTGATAGGTATGGATGCCACTAATGCAATCAGAATCGCAGGTTACTCCATATTTTTGAAGCCAGATGGAACTCAAAATATGAAACAACATGGTAGTTTCCCATGTGCCCTTCATTGGACGTCCTCCATAATGGGGGTGATCATGGCTTTGGATAGTAATCTGAGGAATTAGAATAAAGCCCGTATTGGTTGAATTCAAGAACCTGGCTAACGTTGGGATACGTGTAAGAAATTTTGGTAAAATTTGGTGTTGTCCATTCAGAGGCAGCGACGGCTCTAAAGGTTCCATCCTAGACTTCCTATAACCTCTTAGAAGCTGAGGTCAGGCTTTTACTCAAAGCACCTGCAAAGGAACCGCAGTTTGAGAGCACAGCATTGTAGGTAATGGCAAAGTAGCTGTATCTCACAGGACCGGGTTGAATTAATTTCCTGGCTACGAGTTCCCAGTTGGCTGAGGTGTTTCCAAAAAAATAAAGGTCGGGCCGTTAGTTTGGCAATAAATATCAAGAAAAATAAAGCGTGTCTCCTTTTTTTTACATTGTTCCTCCTTTTCTGTACAGAGAGGCCCGCCCACGCTTAATTAGCTCCTCATGGGCTGACTGTGCTGGACACACAGGGGCACTCTTTGCCTGACACAGCCCAAACCTGTGCTCCCATATACATAAGTTAGGCCGTGCCGTGATGCAGATTCTGCATGTGTTATCTGGAGTCTGCAGGGGTGGGACTTGAGATGGGAACCTCCCTTCCACCCTAAAAGAATCTTCTCCCCAGCCCTGCCTCCTAGGAGTGGTAGAGTCCACTCCTAGGGGGCAGGGTTGGGGAGAAGTTTATTTCTTCCCCTTGGGGATTTTGCAGCTATATTGCAGCTATAGCCACATAAAGAGAAGATGCGAGTGACTTCATTGCTCCTCTCGGCAAGCCTACGCTCTCTATCTTTGTCTCTGTCTTTTGTGGTAACTTACTTCTCAAAGATTGATAGTTACTCCTCCTATGTAGGTCTTCCTACTCTGAGCCAGATTCTTCAGCTTGAGAATCAAGGGTCAGAAGCTTCCTATCAACCCTCTGGGGACATGCTAATAATAGGCTCTGCCTCCCAGTTCCTGCGTGTGCATCAGCATCAGATAAGAGAGCCCCGTGGTTAACAGGAATGTAACCGGGAACTATGAGGCTGGCGTAATATTGTTGTGTACACTTAGAGGCTAGGAGACAATGTGAGTTGAGGTGGTTGATGGGGAAGGAACTACTGGAGTACAGGTCACTTCTGACCCCCAAGCTGAAAGAAGGCCACAAGTAATACTAAATATTCTTGCCTGAGACTAACTAGGAATGGTTCTCCTAGGTCTAGTTGGCAGGTCGTCAAAGCATTCAGTGGTGGAGACCATTGGGGTCATGTGACTGGCAAGGTTGAAAACAGAATCTCAACTGAGAGGGACCACACCAAGCTGTGAGAAGTACGGAAGCTGCAATTCAGATAATGTTGGATAGACAATGTCGGGGTCACCAGAGAAAACATTTTGATTCCATTCCACCCCAATTTTTATCTTCTGGGGCTTCAAATCAGGAAGTGTTTTTGGTTGAAACCAAACTAAAAGCAACAAAATGGGGGTCCACAAAGTTGGGGGCATGAAATTGTCCAAAATGTCTTGGTGTGCTGATGTCTTAAGAGTTCCCTTCACTGGAACTAAGGGGCCAAGCCCAACCCCTGAAAAACAACCCCCCCCCTCACCCCCCCCCACTTTACACTTTGGCTGCACGGCCATGGAAACCCATTCCATGAAGCTCTCTACACACTGTTGTTGTGCCAATCTGAAGGCCACACCAAGTTTGGAGGTCTGTAGCTATTGACTCTGCAGACAGTTGGCGACTTCTGCGCACTGTGCTCTTCAGCCGACCCCGCCCTGTCATGTGATGTGGTCTACCACTTCCTGGCTGAGTTGCTGTTGTTCCCAGTTGCTTCCACTTTGTTATAATACCAGTAACAGGTGACCGCGGAATATTTAGTAGCCAGGAAATATCACGGAACACCTGAATCTAATGATTTGGAGTGGGAGGGGCCCAATACTTTTGGTGATATAGTGTATGTACCTCCACATTATTCTTCATGTTAGGAGGAAGATTGGGTGCCCATGGGGTGATGGAGAACACAAAAGGAAGAGGACCTCAAATAGGGTGAGTGACAAAATCTGGAGCTCTGGATCAGGCTGAAACCCCCCAACAAGGCCGGCAATTGGTCAGTAGGAGCACCCCTAGCCACTCGGCCCAACTTGCTCCTTTAAAATAATAACATGTTACAGCCCTGTGGTACACAAAACGGCAATATTGTGCCGGACTGGGAACCGCTGGTGCTCCGGAAGGGCTCCGCCCGCCTCAGGAAGCAGCAAATATACCAATGTAATATAACCAGGCACCACAGGCCTGTTATAACACAGGTTCCAGCACACAGCTTCATGTTCCGATCCTTAAATAAATATCAGATGAACAATTTGCATCATTGACCCAAAAACACGTTTCAGCCCCACATGGCCTTAGTCATAGCTATGGCTAAGTCCATGTGTGGCTGAAACGCGTTAGTGGCTTAATGATGTGAACCGTTCATCTGATATTTATTAAAGGATCGGAACATTAAGCTGTGTGTTGGAGCCGGTGTTATAACAGTCCTCTGGTGCCTGGTCACATGGCCAACCGATTTGGCATGTAGGCGCATGATCTCTGCCAATAGGGAAGAGCAGGGCTTGGACTGGATCAAGTAGATTGTCGTGAAGGACAAGTAGATTTGGCCCCCACTTTAGCCCTTGGACAAGTAGTTTTTAACAAAATTTCCACACCCCTGTGACTCCATCTGCTGAGGGAGGTCTTGTTCAACGATAGGTCCCGTTTAAGAAGCCCAAGCCATACACGTGACAGAATACCTTCAGATTGTTTTTATTTCAACGTGCCACCAAATTGTCAAAATCTGGACAGGCAACTGTATGACTTGTGACAGGAAAGCCACGCCCACTTTATCAAAAATCCCACCAATCTGATTTTAGATAGAGACGGGTATGAGATTGGTGAAGAATGGAAATGTCCACGGAAGCTGCACATATCCACCACGTTGACCATCACCTCCTCTGTTCTTTTCACTGGTGACGCATCTTCACACGCCTCCTCCTCACCGCGTCCTCCGATTCTCACACCCGTCCCTCATTGATATCTGCTCCTGGAGGAGCTTTACCTCCACCGCCCAACGCATACCATGGAAGGTCAACGCTGGGCTACTGACTGCGCATAATACATTATATTCCACCCCCACATTGGTGGGTTGACGTAATCAGACCCGCCCGTTCTTTACAGCCAATCCCGGCTGTTTGACATACATACGATCAGCGGCTCTATAGCCTGCCGATCGTATGTATGTGCTGGCTGGCTGCCCCCTCCCCGTCCTCAAGTGCCGCCGCCGCCATGAGTGCCGCCCGATCCTGACCCCTCACCTTCAAACCCGGGATCCGCCACCCCATCTGCGGCTCGGGAGGGCATCAGGAGGTAAGATGGGAGGGGGATCAGCATCTTCCTCCTTGCTAAACTGCCTCCGAGGTCTGAATGCGGAAGTGATGTGCATTACATCACTTCCACATTCACCTGTCAGTCATCCGGCTGTTATTGCCAGAGAGAAGAAGCTGATGACTGGGAACTTTGCTTCATCAGCTTCTTTTGGGGGTCCCCAGGTGACATTAGGGGTCTTAGAGACCCCTAATGTCTCCATAAAGAGGACCTGTCAGTGTACCTTTGCTATTATATAGGGGGATTGTTATCCCCATGTGATAGCATAAAGAGGACCTGTCAGTGTGCCTTTGCTATTAAATAGGGGGATTGTTATCCCCCCTATGTGATAGCATAAAGAGGACCTGTCAGTGTGCCTTTGCTATTATATAGGGGGATTGTTATCCCCATGTGATAGCATAAAGAGGACCTGTCAGTGTGCCTTTGCTATTTAATAGGGGGATTGTTATCCCCCCTATATGATAGCATAAAGAGGACCTGTCAGTGTGCCTTTGCTATTTAATAGGGGGATTGTTATCCCCCCTATATGATAGCATAAAGAGGACCTGTCAGTGTGCCTTTGCTATTATATAGGGGGATTGTTATCCCCCCTATGTGATAGCATAAAGAGGACCTGTCAGTGTGCCTTTGCTATTATATAGGGGGATTGTTATCCCCTCTATGTGATAGCAATAACAATAAGTCCAAAAAAAAATAAAAAAAGTTTTTAAAAAAACGCAAAATGTTTAAGACAATTGCGCTACACATGTTACATATCTCCGTGGACGTCGCAGTGCGAGCAATCATTCTAGAGCCATCAATCACTGATAACACTAAACTGATGAGCGGTAAAAGCTTTTAAAGCGTCGCCTATAGCCAATTTTGAGTATGGTAGTTTTTTGAGGTTTCGCACGCGCGCTCAATTTTAAGGCTTGACATGTTCGGTGTCTATTTACCCGACGTGACCCCCGTCTATTATATTTTAGCAAAAAAATGGGGTGATAATAAACGTTTTATCATTTAATTTAGGGGAAACAGTTTTTCCTTAATATAGTAAAAAATAAACACCCCCCTCCCCCCCAGTGGTGATTAAATACCAACAAAAGAAAGCTCTATCCGTCCCCAAAAAATTGTATAAAATTAATTTCAGTACAGCGTTGCATGAGGGAATAAATGTCAGTCAAAGTACCGCAGCGCTGAATAATGAAAAATGGCCGCCACGGGAAGGGGGTGTAACACCGCGGACTTCAAATGGTTGAAACTTGATGGAATGAGCAGGACTCCAATACCCCCTACTCCCTATAAGAATGCAATCTTGAAAGAGTGTAGCCCACAAACCTCGCTCAAACCAGCTATGCATCTTTGTGGATTCTGCGATGTTTAACAATAGAAGCCTTTGAGAAAAAACCTTTCCCACACTCTGAACATGAATATGAGTTTTCCCCCCGGTGCCCCTTCTGGTGAACAGTGAGAGATGCCTGCCACAAGAAGCTTTTCCCACACTCCGAGCACGAATAACACTTGTCGCCCTTGTGAAGCCTCTGATGGCTGACGAGATGGGACTTCTGGGTGAAGCTTTTCCCGCAGTCCGAACACACATATGGCTTCACCCCTGTGTGAATTCTCTGGTGCCGTTCTAGCTGGAACTTCTGAATGAAGCGTTTGCTGCATTCGGCACATGAAAACGGCTTCTTGTCCAGGTGCATATTTTCATGGATGACCAGGCTGGACCTGGCTGTGAAGGACTTCCCACACTTGGGACAGGAAAAAGGCTTCTCGCCTGTGTGCGTCCTAAGGTGGCCAACCAGGGTTGATTTGGCGCCAAAGGATTTGCCGCACTCGGAGCAGGAGTACGGCTTGCCCTCCATGTGCATTCCCTGATGTTGGACGAGAGAAAACCTCTGCGAGAAGCACTTCCCGCAATCTGAACATCTAAACGGCTTCTCACCAGAGTGAGTCCTTCGGTGCTTATGGAGGTGGGCCCTCTGGTTGAAGCATCGGCCGCATTCTGCACATGAATAGGGCTTCTCCCCTGTGTGCATACGCTGATGGTGGACAAACTGATCTTTACGGTTGAACCATTTGCCGCACTCGGAGCAATAATACAACTTTCTCTGTTTCGGCTTGACCTGAGAAGACAAACATTTTCTCCGTCAGATGTTTTTGAAATTTGTATTTAAAGCAAGACATCGCTAATTCGTGACACGATGGAGCACACTGTAGGCCCTTATTGCCTCCGTACATCGTTACGGTGAGCCTACACAAGATTCCTGAACTTGGTTGGGTCCTCAAGACTTCTTCTCTTAAGATGCAGCATCAGAACATTCCAGGAACCCTGGACTATTGAGTGGAGGACACAATTTTCTAACCATGAGAACATAGTTACATAGTTACATAGTATTTGAGGTTGAATAAAGACATTAGTCCATCAAGTCCAACCTAATAGGATCTCATTCTAGGAGTACCCGTACCCCTGTATATTACGGTCCCTTAAGAAATCGTCCAAAAGTTTCTTTTGGCAGTGAGTTCCAGACCCTAACTGATCTTACTGTGAAGAACCCCCTTCGCCCCTTGTGCTGGAATTTTTTTTCCACCAATTTTAGGTGGTGGCCTCTAGTTTTTGTAATGGAGTTAATTTTAAACAGTTTATCGCTAATGTTGCTACCACCATTAAACATTTTGTACATGGAAATCATATCCCCCCTTAATCTCCTCACCTCTAATGTGAACATGTTTAAATTTAGTAGCCTCGTCTCGTAGCTCTGGTCCTCCATACCCCTAATTAGTTTGGTTGCCCTTCGCTGGACTTTTTCCAACTCAAGGACATCTTTTCTTAGTACTGGTGACCAGAACTGGACCGCGTACTCCAGATGAGGTCGAACCAATGATCTATAAAGTGGCAAAATTATAGACTTGTCCCTGCAATACATCCCCTTTTTAATACAGGACAAGACCCTGCTAGCTTTGTTTACAGCAGAGGATTGAATGCGGCCTTGTCAGCCATGATAACAAAGCCCACCACGCCTACAACCGTACCGATGCCAGCATACAGACTAGACCTCATACTCATTCTCCGAAACTCATAGTCCTGGTGCTAGGTAACTGATAGTCATTGATGACTCTTAAGTTAGACTCTTCCCCAGGACCAATTTGATTTTTTCCCTTGGAGTTCCTAAAAGGCCAATCCTAGGCAAAAGTTAACCCTGGCTATCCCCATCTGTGGCCAAGGCCTGCCCCAGGCAAAATTCAACCCTGGCCAAGGCCTACCCCAGGCAAAAATTAACCCTGGCCAAGACCATCCCCAGCTAAAAGTAAACCCTGGCCAAGGATATCCTCAGGCAAAATTTAACCCTGGCCAAGGATATCCCAGGCAAAATTTAACCCTGGCCAAGGCCTTCCCCAGGCAAAAGTTAACCCTGGCCAAGGCCATCCCCAGCTAAACGTTAAACCTGGCCAAGGCCATCCCCAGGCAAAAGATAAGCCTGGCCAAGGCCATCCCCAGGCAGATGTTAACCCTGGCCAAGGCCTTACCCAGGCAAATATTATCCTGGCCAAGGCCATCCCCAGGCAAAAGTTAACCCTGCCCAAGGCCTTTCCCATGCAAAAGTTAACCCTAGCCAAGGCCATCCACAGGCAAAAGTTAACCCTGGCCATGGCCATCCCCAGCTAAAGGTTAACCCTGGCCAAGGCCTTCCCAGGCAAAAGTTAAGCCTGGCCAAGGCCATCCCCAGGCAAAAGTTAACACTGGCCAAGGCCTTCCCCAGGCAAAAGTTAAGCCTGGCCAAGGCCATCCCCAGGCAAAAGTTAACCCTGGCCAAGGCCATCCCCAGGCAAAAGTTAACCATGGCCAAGGCTAGACCCAGGCAAATGTTAACAATGGCCAGGGCCTTCCCCAGGCAAATATCCTGGCCAAGGCCTTGGTTTGTTAAAAACATTGTGAGTGTTTCATACTTACCTAAGTCTGCTGTCTGGGTCCCTCGTTGGCGCCCATTGGGGGACCGGTAATCCAGCAAGCCTGATATGCCAAACCAGCTGATCCCCAATACTCCCCCTCCACTAATCGCCTTCTAGACTTTCTTCTAGATCCTGAGAAGACCCCAGTGCTGGACAGCCTATAGTAAGCGTGCTCATTAGGCAGGTGTTGACATGGACACCCGAAGAAGGACCCCACATCCTGTGCAAGGATGTAGAGAGAAGCCTTGGGACCCAAACGTCATGTGACCATTAGTCAAGGTGAGTAAAAGGGGCATTTTGTTATGGCAGTAAGTAGAGTGAGGTTGAGGGGGGCCAAGGTGATGCAAGGAGGAGTCTACACAGTTGACTAGAACATGGTAATGTAAGTTTGGCAAGATCCATCACAGTGCCAGTACTTCCTTCACAGAGAATCTCAGAACCCATTGCCCCCCCCAGGGTATGTATATTACATTCATGACCTAAATAGTATTACGTACCGGTTGGAAATTTGGGGCTACTGGGTTTTCCTCTAAAGTGACAACTGTGGTGGCGTCGTGTTCCGTGTCATCTCCGGGAGACACAGTGGGATATGTTCCTTTGCTGTTGCTATGTTCACCTTGAGGAAATAAGAAATGGGAATGTTTTCATTAGCTTATACGTCACCTTTCCTGGCTCATCTCACCGGTGGATTGACGAAGATCCATCTACAACCACCTGAGTGGACAACCAGAGGACCTTAATGCTGATGACTCACCTGGGCCATTCTCTGGAGGCATCTCCATGGCCTTCCACAGCTCCTCGTCCTTTACCTCTGTCTCTGCTTCTTCTTTCACTTCAGCTTTCACACCAATAGGATTTTCACCCTGAACAATGCAACACATACAAGGATATCTAACATTTAATTAAAGAGTTAAAGATGTCAGCACACCGCCACATATCAGCATTCTGGTATCACGTCATTACATTTAGGATCAGTACTGGGAGTTTGGCATTATGGCACCAATCCTACTTTGGCTACATGGGGAAGGATATGGATGTCTTGCTGATATTGTGCCCTGGGGTTCACGTAATCCATTTCTGGCCCTACTCAAAATCTCAGGAGAGCATAGTTAATGTCTTATGGTAAGATACTCAATGTCCTCTACCAGATCATCCTGAAAGATCTCATGATATTCCTGGGAGGAATTCCAGGAATACAGATGATGGGCCTGAGGGATCTCATGATGTTCCTGTGTGGAATCCTGGGAATACAAAGGAAGGGCCTGAGGGACCTCCTGATGTTCCTGTGTGGAATCCCGGGAATACAGAGGAAGGGCCTCAGGGATCTCATGATGTTCCTGTGTGGCGTCCCGGGAATACAGAGGAAGGGCCTGAGGATCTCACAATGTTCCTCTGTGGAATCCCGGGAATACATAGGACGGGCCTGAGGGATCTCATGATGTTCCCGTGTGGAGTCCTGGGAATAGAGAGGACGGGCCTGAGGGATCTCATGATGTTCCCGTGTGGAGTCCTGGGAATAGAGAGGACGGGCCTGAGGGATCTCATGATGTTCCTGTGTGGAATACCGGGAATACAGAGGACTGACCTGAGGGATCTCATGATGTTCCGGTGTGGAATCCCGGGAATACAGAGGACGGGGACATCTCTCTGGGGTATTTCTGTAACTGGATCCATCTGTAGGAAACACACAATTAGTCACCTAACTGTAGTAACATCCAAGCTGTCTTGTATTAAAATTTACAAAGACAAACTGGAAGGTTCTGACAGAGGAGGGGGGAGAAGAAGAGATTGTTGTAGTGACTGAACAAGGAGAATCTGGGACTCGTTTCTGGATTTAGTGTTTATTACTCACCTGTGCTGATCTCTGTAACAATTGTCTCTTCTTTAATCTTCCTCTGTCCTTCTTCTTTGATGTTTCTGGGAGTGACTCTGGTTTCTCCGGGGTCTGCGAATAAAGATAAGAGTGAAGCAAATCTCCCCGGTACGGAGATGAATGAGAAAACCTAGCACACTCTGCCCCCCCATTACTGTCTACTGACAGAGGAGGGGGGAGAAGAGATTGTTGTAGTGACTGAACAAGGAGAATCTGGGACTCTTTTCTGTATTTAGTGTTTATTCCTCACCTGTGCCGATCTCTGGAGGGATTTCCTCCTTCTTACATGGATCATCACCCATCATAGGCGGATCTTCTGCTTCCTCCTTTACCTCAACTTTAACAACAATCAGGCCGTCAACCTAAATACCACAAAAAGGCACTTGGAACAACATAATCTATAATCTGATATTGGACATCTGGTTTAGAAATGGAGGACATGACATCTACCTTATCCTCCTGAGGGACCTCATGATGTTCCTGTGTGGAATCCCAGGAATACAGAGGACGGGCCTGAGGGATCTCATGATGTTCCTGAGGGATCTCCTGATGTTCCTCTGTGCAATCCCAGGAATACAGAGGAAGGGCCTGAGGGATCTCATGATGTTCCTGTGTGGAATCCCGGGAATACAGAGGATGGGTCTGAGGGATCTCATGATGTTCCTGTTTGTAGTCCTGGGAATACAGAGGAAGGGCCTGAGGGATCTCATGATGTTCCTGTGTGGAATCCCCAGAATACAGATGACTGACCTGAGGGATCTCCTGATGTTCCTGTGTGGAATCCCGGGAATACAGAGGACGGGGACATCTCCCTGGGGTATTTCTGTAACTGGATCCATCTGTAGGAAACACACAATTAGTCACCTAACTGTAGTAACATCCAAGCTGTCTTGTATTAAAATTTACAAAGTCAAACGGGAAGGTACTGGCAGAGGAGGGGGGAGAAGAAGAGATTGTTGTAGTCACTGAACAAGGAGGATCTGGGACTCTTTTCTGGATTTAGTGTTTATTACTCACCGGTGCTGATCTCTTGAGGGATTTCCTCCTCCTTACATGGATCATCACCCATCATAGGCGGATCTTCTGCTTCCTCCTTCACTTTAACAACAATCAGGCCGTCAACCTAAATAACACAAAAAGGCACTTGGAACAACATAATCTATAATCTGATATTGGACATCTGGTTTAGAAATGGAGGACATGACATCTACCTTATCCTCCTGAGGGACCTCATGATGTTCCTGTGTGGAATCCCGGGAATACAGAGGAAGGGCCTGAGGGATCTCATGATGTTCCTGGGTGAAGTCCCGGGAATACAGAGGAAGGGCCTGAGGGATCTCATGATGTTCCTGTGTGGAATCCCCAGAATACAGAGGACTGACCTGAGGAATTGCATGATGTTCCTGGGTGGAATCCCGGGAATACAGAGGACGGGCCTGAGGGATCTCATGATGTTCCTGAGGGATCTCATGATGTTCCTGGGTGGAATTCTGGGAATACAGAGGAAGGGCCTGAGGGATCTCATGATGTTCCTCTGTGGAATCCCGGGAAAAAAGAGGAAGGGCCTCAGGGATCTCCTGATGTTCCGGTGTGGAATCCCGGGAATACAGAGGACGGGGACATCTCCCTGGGGTATTTCTGTAACTGGATCCATCTGTAGGAAACACACAACTAGTCACCTAACTGTAGTAACATCCAAGCTGTCTTGTATTGAAATTTAGAAAGACAAACTGGAAGGTACTGACAGAGCAGGGGGGAGAAGAAGAGATTGTTGTAGTGACCGAACAAGGAGAATCTGGGACTCTTTTCTGTATTTAGTGTTTTCCTCACCTGTGCTGATCTCTGGAGGGATTTCCTCCTCCTTACAAGGACCATCACCCATCATAGGCGGATCTTCTGCTTCCTCCTTCACCTCAACTTTAACAACAATCTGGCCGTCAACCTAAATAACACAAAAAGGCACTTGGAACAACATAATCTATAATCTGATATTGGACATCTGGTTTAGAAATGGAGGACATGACATCTACCTTATCCTCCTGAGGGACCTCATGATGTTCCTGTGTGGAATCCCGGGAATACAGAGGATGGGCTCGAGGGATCTCCTGATGTTCCTGTCTGGAATCCTGGGAATACAGAGGATGGGCCTGAGGGATCTCATGATGTTCCTGAGGGATCTCATGATGTTCCTGTGTGGAATCCCGGGAATACAGAAGCTGGGTTAGAGGGATCTCCGGATGTTCCCGTGTGGAATCCCGGCAATACAGACGACGGGCCTGAGGGATCTCATGATTTTCCTGAGGGATCTCCTGATGTTCCTGAGTGGAATCACGGGAATACAGAGGATGGGGACATATCTCTGGTGAACTTCTGTTACTGGATCCATCTGTAAGAAAGTGAAACACATATAGTCATCAGGAGGAATATTAGTCATCAGGAAATATTATTTCCTCCACATCCGGATTCTGTAATGCCATATACTGTATGTATTCAGATTCCTGAAGGACCTCAAACCTTGGAGAAAGTACTCTACTACTACTCAGTCCTATTGTAATAACGGGTCATTCCACCCAAATGTCCTAGGACATCTCTCTGGGGTGTTCCTGGACCCATCTGTAGGAAACACACACACTGACTGAATACATTGTTTCTATGTCTTTATATCAGAGGATGTGTGTATCTAGGGGGATCCTCAATACCCAAGACATGAAAGTCTCCTCTTACCCGGTGATGTGAGGGGCGGCCGGTTCTCCATCATGATGTCTAAGTTCATAGTTGAAGAAATGGTGAGCCGTAGACACTGAAATGCAAACCACAATAAACAGAAATGATTGTGTTGTCTTCTCTGGACTCTGAAGAGGGTTTGCCGCAGATCATCACTATAGCAACCATGCCGCAGATCGTCACTATAGCAACCAGAAAGCAATGGCTTCACCGTGCAACGTAACGCAAGAGGAGGGTTCCAATCCTGGGGAGAATAACAGACACAAATCCATCAAATCCAACCTGAAATATTATTATCCTCCGTGTCTGGACATTTTATTATTAATAAAAATAATTTAAAAAAATTGTAGCATTTATTATATATTATTATGTAACATTCCCCCTTGTCTTTGAATAATAATAAACTGAATAATTAATACTTATGATATATTCTCATGTCCTTTGTCTCCTTATCTTTAAATAATAGCAATAATAATAATAGTTTGTGAATTCTTATATAATATTATCAGTTAGACATATGAGGGAAGTTTATGCGAGCCTAAGCTGTAATTGGAGTGCTTTAGCTGTGTTCTAAAACAGTGGCGTCCCGAGGGTGGGTGTCAGCCGCGGGCGGGGACCGGGTGACACCCCGCCTGACTTCATCGCGCATGCGCAGTGGTCCTTTTTGACGCCTGCCGGCGGCCATCCTGGTAATGGACGCCGGCAGAGGGAGGAGGGGACGTTCACCCGGCGGGATGAGGTATGCCGCCGGGTCCTCTCCTATCTCCTGATACTTTCGGGCTCTCGGTTGCCAGATCGCTTCTACAGTCCCGTGAAGGGACCGCCCCCTTGCTTGCCGGGCTCCGTTGCCCCTCCTACGGGCCGGGACCGGCTTCTGTGGTGTCGGCGGGAAGCTGGGGAGGACATGGACGAACCTCCAATCCCCTCCTTGTTCTATGGGACCGGGAGCGATGCAGATTACATCACTTCCTGTCCCAGAGCTGTCAGTGCCGGGCGTCTGAAGCCTGCGATCTGCACCCCAATAGCTTATTTAGAGTACAGAGGTGACACTGGGGGGGTCTTTTGGACCCCCAGCATCACCTTAAAAAGAGTACCTGTCACCACCAATCTGCTATCACACAGGGGGGCTTGTAAGCCCCCCATGTGATAGCAATTAAAGTAAAGTTAAAAAAACCAACATCAGCTTTTAAAATGAATATTAAATAAATGTAAAAATAATTAAAAATTAAAAGTCCTCCGCGAGCACGCGCGTCTTCACGAAAACACGCGTCGGGTGCGCCTACGTATGAAAACGACGATCGGGCTACATATGTTGGGTATCGCCGCGCACGCCGAGTGAGAACAATGATTCTAGGGCCAGTATTTTTGGGTATCTCTAAACTGATGACCTGTGGGGGGCTTTTAAAGCGTCGTCTATGGACTTTTTGGGGGTACTGAAGTTTGTCGCCATTTCATCGACGCACGCAATTTTTAACCTGGGCATGTCGGGTATCTATTTGCTCGTTGTCACCTCATCTTTTATATCCTATTTTTAAACATTGGTATTTTATTTTAGTTTGGGGTGTTTAGGTACATTTTTCACTAAATTGTGGGAGTTGCGCTAATATCGTGCAACATAAAAATTTTCAACTGCCAACATTCCTTTTTTTTGTTATTTTCTTTAATTATTATTTTATTACATAAAAATATTAGTATTCGTTGCTTCTCTTATAATATATCATCATTTATTGGTGATAACATATTTTTAGGCTATCTGTTAATATTTTTTAAATGTGATATCATTATGGTTTTTGTCATGTTTATGTGATTTAATGTTGTTTTTTGTTTCCTGAAGCGCACAGTGCGCAGAAGTCGCCAACTGTCTGCAGAGCCAATAGCTACAGACCTCCAAACTTCGTGTGGCCTTCAGATTGGCACAACAACAGTGCGTAGAGAGCTCCATGGAATGGGTTTCCATGGCCGAGCAGCTGCATCCAAGCCGCACATCACCAAGTGCAATGCAAAGCGTGGGATGCCGTGGTGTAAAGCGCGCCGCCACTGGACTCTATAGAAGTGGAGGCGTGTTCTCTGGAGGGACCAATCACGCTTCTCTGTCTGGCAATCCGATGGACGTGTCCCCCCCGATGGGGGGGCGGGGGGGGGTTGTTTTTCATTGGTTGGGCTTGGCCCCTTAGTTCCAGGGAAGGGAACTCTTAAGGCATCAGCACACCAAGACATTTTGGACAATTTCATGCTCACAACTTTGTGGGAGGAGTTTGGGGATGGCCCCTTCCTGTTCCAACATGACTGCGCACTAGTGCACAAAGCAAGGTCCATAAAGACATGGATAAGGGTCAGGTGTCCACCAGTTGGGGCCATGTAATGTGTATTATAAACAAAGGCTCCAGACTTCCGGATCCTGGAGCCTTCGGGACCATGGAGACGAGACCTCAGCACTTGGGTTCCCCTGACATGGGTCTTTAAATTGTATAACATCTAAAAAATGTGGAGGAGGTGCAAGACAGGAAGTTATCTGCTGGCATGGTTTCCGGTGGGATCAACAGGTACCTTTTCGCCCTTATGGAAAAGATATAACAAAACACTTTCATTGTGTGAGGAGCTGGTGCCACGTTTGCCATGGACCTTGTGCTACTTGGGTATCAGTGGCGTAACAATCACCATAGCGACCCAGGCGGTCGCTATGGGGCCTGGGGCACAGAGGGGCCCGGCCAGATGCCGTGCGGGCCGCCTGGGTCGCTATGTGATCTTCTGCTGCTGGCTTTCACTGGCATCTGAAGATGAACACGGCGCTGTTCAGATCATCTGTGCAGCGGCGCGTTCGTCTCCACAGACAATGAGAGCCAGCAGCAGCGGGGGAGCAGGCTGGACCCGGTGTTCTATCAACGTTGCGAGCCTCTGACGTCACCGGCAGTGGAGGAGGAGGCGGGCCCGTGCTCGGCAGCAGGGGAGGAGGCGGCCTCGGTGACGAAGAAGGAGGCGGGCCCGGCGACGGAGGAGGTAAGGAGTGCGACCAGCCCACCTGAGGGTGATCCTGCAGAGCCCACCATAGAGAGTCTATGGTGGGCTCTGCAGGGTCACCCTCAGGTGGGATCTCGAGTGGGCTCTGCAAGGGGTATAACTAGAAATCACGGGGCCCCATACAAAATTTTGCTATGGGGCCCTGTGATTTCTAGTTACGCCCCTGTTGGGTATCTCTAAATATGGCGCCGGACAATTGCTCAGAGTGGGTTGTTCTCGACAGTCCACTAGAAGGTCTACCAAAATTGGCCAAGTGGAGCAGTGGAAATTGGCTTTCCATACAGTAGTTTGAAGAAGCCTGACTGTCTGACCATTAAGGATGGAGAGAGGAGGGCTGGACTGTGGGAGAAGCCAGTCAGTTCATGCACTGACAAGAAGCATGCTGATAGTAGGAGAGCAGTCACAGGCTAGGGGAGGGTCCAGGATGACCTGGGCTGCACAGGGGTCACTAGATGTCCCAGGGACTGGAGGCACTGGATGCACAGGGGTCACTAGATGACACAGGGACAGGAAGAACACTTGGAGTCATGGGACCCACTGGGTGCACAGGGGTCACTAGATGACACAGGGACTGGAAGCACACTTGGAGTCACTGGACTCACAGGGGTCACTAGATGTCCCAGGGACTGGATGCACTGGACCCACTGGGTGCACAGGGGTCACTAGATGACACAGGGACCGGAAGACACTTGGAGTCATGGGACCCACTGGGTGCACAGGGGTCACTAGATGACACAGGGACTGGAAGCACACTGTCCAGTCGCTGATTAGGGGTGGGTCCAGGATGATCTGGGCTCAGAGGAAAGACATCTAACAGCAGAAATAAGTACTGTGGTAGGAATCTCTGGATTTCAGGAAAATATTACAACAGACCCCGGTTTTTTGTTTTTTATCTTTTAATGGACTTCTCCTTGTTATTTTTGGCCGGAGTCCATAACAGATAAATGTACAGTAATGTAGTATAATGTGCAGTACAAACAATGAAAGTCACCGCATAGGAACAGTACATGAACCCAATGTGTGATTGCAGATCTTTGATCACATGTACTCCTAGTGAAGCTACCATAAGTCCTCGTCCAGCAGATGTTCCCATGGTCAGAAGACTGGATGGCATCTGGGCCATGGTTCTGCTTCTCCACCAGGTAGAGAAACCTGAGACTCTGTCCACCAATGCTCTTCTCAAGGAGGTTTTGATGGATCCTTGGCCTCTGCTAACCCTCAATCAAGGAGGCTACATATGAATCCTTGGGTGGCTACGATAATCCTCTGGCCAAGGTGGCCAACAGGTGGATTCTTGGCTACTCTATGTCAATCCTCAGCTGAAGGGGGCTTCAGATGACCTCTGACACTGATTGATGTCATCATACCTGGAACCTCAACCAGTCAAGACCTCAACCTACATCAAAGTTGTGAGTGATGGCTACTCTACATCAATACTCAACTCCGGGCGGCTTCAGGTGACCTCTGACACTGATTGATGATGTCTTCCTACCTGGAAACCCCAACCAGTCAATACCTCAACCTACAGCGAAGTTGTGAATGATGGCTACTCTACATCAATCCTCAGCTCAAGGGGGCTTCAGATGACCTCTGACACTGATTGATGATGTTTTCATACCTGGAAACCACAACCAGTGAAGACCTCAACCTACAGCAAAGTTGTGAATGATGGCTACTCTACATCAATCCTCAGCTCAAGGAGGCTTCAGATGACCCTGACCTCTGTTGCTAGTTGGAGCTTATTTATGTAAAGGAATAACGTTTAGGACACTGATGATATCATCATACTGGGGACCGTGATCAAGTCCCATACTCCAGAATGCAACCAGTCAGGACCTCAACCTACAGCAAAGTTGTGAATGATGGAGATGCTTTACATAAAAATAGCGCCTTGGTTCCAGGTCAAGCTGTGCCTGCAGTGAAGCTGCTCAGGCAACATTCTCCAATGCCAAGTTGTCTTCACCATAAAGCGTTTTCCATGTTAAGGGTTGTCGCCTTGGTGACTTTTCTGATGGCAGATGAGAGACGACTTCCAGTTGAAGCTCTTGCCGCAGTCCGCACATGAAAAGAGCTTCTTTCCGGCGTGAACTCTCTGATGCCGAATGAGGCCGGATTTCTGCGTGAAGGACTTGGCGCATTCTGAACACGCGTGTGGCTTCTCCTTGGCATGTGTCTTCCGGTGTTTGACCATATTTGACTTGTATATGAAGCCCTTTCCACAGTCCGGGCAGGAGAAGAGGTTGTTGGTGTGGATCCTCTGGTGGGCGCTGAGGGAAGACTTTGTAGCGAACTTTTCTCCACACTCTGGACACGAGTATGGCTTTTCTCCAGTGTGCCTCCTCTGATGGCTAATCAGGCGTGACTTCTGAGCAAACCGCCTGCCGCATTCCGTACAGGAGAATGGCTTCTCTCCCGTGTGGATGGTCTGATGGATGAGCAGGTTGGTCTTCTGGGCGAAGCATTTTCCGCATTCGGAACACTCGTACGGCTTCTGCTCCATGTGAGTCTTCTGATGGATGACCAAAGTGGACTTTGTAGCAAAGCACTTCCCGCACTGCGGGCAGGCGAACGGTTTCTCACCCGTGTGGGTCTTCTGGTGGCCGAGGAGCGTTGACTTGGATGCAAAGCATTTCCCGCAGTCAGAGCAGGAATATGGTTTCTCTTGCATATACATACGTTGGTGTTTGAGGAGTGAGAACTTCTGCCGGAAAGACTTCCCGCAGTCGGAGCATTTGAAGGCCTTCACACCGCGGTGGGAGCTCTGATGGTGGACCAGGGAAGCTTTCTGGGTGAAGCTTTTGCCACACTCGGGGCACGTGTATGGCTTTAACCCCGTGTGAATTCTTTGGTGGACAACAAGGTGGACCTTCTGTACGAAGCATTTACCACACTCCAAACACGAATACGGCCTCTCTAGCTTGTGGGACCTCATATGCTTCAGCAGTGGGACTCTTCGGACAAAGCGCTTTCCGCATACAGTACATGAAAGTGACTTTACCCCTTTGCAATGTCCCTAAGAAAAAAAACAAAAACAAGGTTTCAGGATAAAGAATTTCCCTTTGTTTCCATGTTCCTATGCTGAAGCTTGTGGTGGACCAAAAGCAGGATCTAGATGGGAAAACCAGCAAGGGTTTGGAATGAAAGGTGCCTTATCCTTATGAGGTAATCGTAAGGCCCCATTCACACCTAGGCGTATTGTAATATGCACGTCTGTCGCGTGGTTTTTTTACCGCGATTCGCGGTGCGACCGTCGCGCGATTCCGAAGGGTACTTGGCTGTATCCCAATGGAAAACGCCCTACAAAACGGCCCAAAGTAGTACCTGGACCTTTTCAGGCGTGGGCCGTTTTGTAGGGCGTTAGGGACGGGCAGAAATACGGCAAGGTGGGAACGAGGCCATTGACTACAATGCAATTTATATTTTTGACCGTTTTGTAGAGCGTTCGTCGAGTGTAGAACGCGCTACAAAACGGTCAGGTGTGAACGAGGGCTAAGGGTCAAGGGTAGCCAAGCTGACCTGGTCTAGCAAAAATGGCACGGCTTTTGGTCTATAAGCTTTCTCGGACTAGTAGTGAAGATTGTGGCAGACCAAAAGCACGATCTAGATGGGAAAACTATCAAGGGTTGGAATGAAAGGTGCCTTATCCATACGCTCTAAGGTCATATAAAGGGTCAAGGGTGGCCAAGCTGACCAGGTCTAGCAAAAATGACTTGGCTTTTTGGCCTTTAAGCTCTCACAGACCAGTAGTGAAGCTTCTGGTGGACCAAAAGCAGGATCTAGATGGGAAAACTAGCAAGGGTTACAATGAAAGGTGGCTTTTTCCTTATGCATTGAGGTCAAAGAAAGGGTCAAGGGTGGCCAAGCTGACCTGGTCTAGCAAAAATGACTTGGCTTTTGGTCTGTAAGCTCTCGCAGACCAGTAGTGTATGATTGGCAGTGACTTTTATATCTTTAGGAGTTGTCATGGTGCCAAACAGAAGAGGTGAGGAGGGTAGATGATGGTGAAACCATCCTTAGGCAGTTCTAACTCTACAGGTAAAACTTTGATTACATGCCAGGGGCCACTTTGTTGCTCCTCACGGCTTCCTTCCCTTAAGTAGAAATGCGTTGCAATCTGGTGGTATTACCATCATAGCTTTAACTACGTTTTTAAACCCCCAGTGGGTTTAAAGATGGCTTTTCAGCCAAGCTTCTTGGCCACCGACTGAAATAAATGATCCATACACAGCTATTCTAACGTTGGGTTTTGGTGACCTCAAGCAATAGAAAAGCATGGAGGATCACTTCCAGCAGGTGACACCAGGCGTCCAGCTGAAAGGTCAACTTTGCCCCATACATTGAGCTTTAGAGAGGTTTGGATGTCTCTCAAATTCTACTGTTGGGATCCAATAATAAAGGCAGCCTGAGGCTCTTACCTTATGTCTCTTTGAGGAACGTCAAAGCTGACCTCTGGCCAATCTAAACATACATTCCCAGCTTCCCAACCCACCTAAATCTGCAGTCACGTGATGCATGACAGCAGGATATGAATCCCGCCAGTCTGTGGGAAGGTGCCAATCATACTAGACGCGTATTGACTACATGGATTTCCCTTGTAGGGCACACTGCCGATGGGCTAGCGTAATACAGTTCCTACTAACCAGAGATGGGTATGAGATTGGTTGCTCGCTCAAGGAGCAGTAGCTTGGGTTTAACTTTCTCTGCTACAGGAAGAAGCATTGGAAAGGGAAGGCATGGGAGGTGGGTGGAGGGTTGGGGATGGGAGGTGGGTGGAGGGTTGGGGATGGGAGGTGGGTGGAGGGTTGGGGATGGAGGTCAAGTGTACATTTCTACAACATCACGGAGAGTCCATCTCCAGAGCTGAGATTCACATTATTTTTGGAATGTTTTTGAGCCCGGAGATCGGCTTTCAGGATTCTTCACCTCTATCACATACCGGCTGTACATTGGGGGTAATTTCTCCCAGAGTGACCGTTGTGACGCCGTCGTCTTCTAGATCACCGTCTGGGGAGACAATTGAACGTCCTTCTGGGTTACTTCTGGTGCGTCGGCCTTGTGAGAGAAACCGAAAACAGGAAATGGGAGAGAGGGGGTTGGGAATGGGAAAAGGTAAACGGAGCTCATTTTCAGGAAACACGTCATTGAGTCATTTTTAAAAAAAATTCAAATTAATAATCATCAATTATTACAGGAGGACAATTCCCTAAGCAGAAGATGGGTCTTTTCAGGTACCAAGGGGGCCAACAGGTGGATCCTTGGCTACTCTATGTCAATCCTCAGCTCAAGGAGGCTTCAGATGACCTCTGACACTGATTGATGAGGTCTTTATACCTAGAAACCCCAACCAGTCAAGACCTCAACCTACAGCGAAGTTGTGAGTGATGGCTACTCTACATGAATCCTCATTTTAAGGAGGCTTCAGATGACCATGACCATAAGCAGAAGATTGGTCTTTTCAGGTACTCGTGGATCTAGCGGGGGTTTGGGGTATGGCTGGCAAGATGGATCTTTTTAGGTAGTCGTAGGGGGGGTATGGCTCTAGTTACTGTGGCTGATCTGTATCCCAGGGCTAATAATCGATGAATCCTTCAGCATGCCCGTTCCAGGTACGCACACAAGTTTCCTCTGCCACCAGGTAAAGGTGCAGCGCTTCAATGCTTCTTTGACCTCCAAAACAGGACCAACAGCAGCAGACAAGATGGCGCCTGCACGTCATGTGGCTACGCCAATCCCCAATACACAGCCCAACCACTCTTCACAAGCAGGCCACATTCTCCCTACCAGCAGGAACAGTTAAAAGTGACCCCCCTTACCACCCGACTTTCCTATTTTCACCCTGCGGGAACTATAGGTGGCTTCAATAAGGGGGTCAGAAAGCCCAGGGGCCTCACGAAACCAGACACAAAGGCCACAACATATATTAGATACTTCCTACAGTTCCAGGAAAATAAGGCAGGCTTTGAGGCTCTGGCTTGGAGGAGCTAGTGAAGAAGGATGTAGAAGAGCTACGGCAGAATGTCCACCACATTGATACACAGGTTTCCACACTTGAATCTACCCCCTCAACCTTGGAGGAACTTGGGAAATCCCTGAAGATTGTATGTGCATCACACACCCACCATCCGAAATCGCTTCACCTACACATCGAACGGGAGCAAGAAATTTGAGGATTTGAGAATCTCAAAGGTAGCACCCCGGTCTTAAGAATGAAGTTAAAACAATGAGCTTCACAACACTTCCATCTTTTGATGTTTACAACATCATTTGTTATAGCGCCATATCGGTTATAATCATCTTGAAACGTATATGTTCTATAAGTTCCCCAACGTTCATGACGGGGTTTTGGACTTTTTTTCTGGATTTAGTATCTATTCCTCACCTGTGCTGATCTCTGGAGAACGTTCCTCCTCCTTGCAATGTTTGGTGGTCCTCGCGGTCTCATCGTCTCCATCATCTTTGACTTCAACTTTGATAGCCACCAGATTTTCATCCTGAATAATGCAAAGCAATATAAATACCGACCAACGTTAACAAATACCATTGTGTTGTCTAAAGTTACGCAGGATATTGTCTTTGTAGATCTAAAGGTCATATGTTGTAGACCCCTTATATCTTTTTCAGAGCTACTTCAGGCCCATCTACCTGATACTCATCTGAGGTGGTTTGATCTTCCTGTGTGGAGTCCTGGGAAGAAACAGGGCTTGGACATCTCTCTGGTGTGTTCCTGTTACTAGATCCATCTGTAGGAAACCAACAGAACTGCAAAAGTATGATCAGATAAGTTAACAGATGTCTTTACGTAACAAAATATGTAGGTTCAGGAAAAGAAAATCACATCATATATCACATCAACACGCATAACTTCTAATGGGGACACCAGGTACTGTTGTATCTGACATGATTTGAGGAGAAGAGCCGGAATCTAATAGAGGCTGATGGCTCCTGACTCCCCCCACTAGAGACATTCCATCCCCCCATTACTGTCTACTGACAGAGGAGGGGGGAGAAGAAGAGATTGTTGTAGTGACTGAACAAGGAGAATCTGGGACTCTTTTCTGGATTCAGTGTTTATTCCTCACCTGTGCTGGTCTCTGGAGAAACGTTCTTCTCCTTACATGGCTCATCGCTCTTCAGATCCCTCTCGTCTTCTTCCTCATCTTTCATTTCAACTTTAACAACAATTAGGCCATCATTCTGAAGAAGACACAAAGCACATCACAAAGACCTCAACCTTCAACCGTGTCTGACTTACAAATCAAGATCCAAGCGTAAGGAAAAAACAGTTTCCATCCACTCAAGGTGCATCCTCAATGTAGTTTCAATCCTCAACTGGTTTTCGAAATCTTCAACTCAATTTACCTGATAGCTCCCCGTGATTTTGTGATGTTCCTGTGTGGAATCCCGGGAATACAGAGGACGGGTACATCTCTCTGGGGTATTACTGTTCCTGGATCCATCTGTAGGAAACACACACACTGACTGAATACATTGTTTCTATATCTTTATATCAGAGGATGTGTGTATCTAGGGGGATCTTCAATACTCTTAAAAGAAATGAAAGTCTCCTCTTACCTGGTGATGTGAGGGGCGGCCGGTTGTCCATCTTAATAAGTCCCGGCTTGTGAAACCATTGGCCTTTAAAAATCAAAGAAGTAATTGAAAGCAATGTATACCATGTCTTGTAGTGTAAAGAACAGGACCAAGAAAAGCCAACCAGATGAAACATTATCTACCTTATCAGCCTTCTTATCTTAGAAAGGGCACAGTAGACAAAAGTAGACTTCTCCAAGCACTGAGAAGGACTTTAACTCTTCCTGAGGAATGCCAAGGTGTTCCCTGTCTGACAAAAATCCACAGCCCCACGACACAGTCCTGGTTTGTTCTTGGACCAAGACCATGAGGAGCCATCTAGTTGAACCATTGTCTAATCTACATCATCAGTCTTTCCATACTAAAATGGGCTCAAAAGTAGACTTCTCCAAGCATTCAGAGGGACTTTAGCTCTTCCTGAGGGATACTTAGGTGTTCCCTGTCTGAAGAGAAGCCACAGCCCCACCACAATGTTCTGGTTTGCTCTTGGACCAAGATCAAGAAGAGCCATCTAGTTGAACCATTGTCTATGTCAACAGTCTTCCTATCTTAAAAAGGGGTCAGTAGACAAAAGAAGCCTTCTCCCGACACTGAGAGGGACTTTAGCTCTTCCTGACAGATGTCAAGGTGTTCCCTGTCTGAAGAGAAGCCCTAGAGTAGCCATCTAGTTGAACCATTATCTACCTTATCAGCCTTCCTATCTTAAAAATGGCTCAGTAGACAAAAGTAGACTTCTCCAAGCACTGGGAAGGACTTTAGCTCTTCTTGAGGGATGTCAAAGTGTTCCCTGTCTGAAGAGAAGCCACAGCCCCACCGCACAGTCCTGGTTTGTTCTTGGACCAAGACCAAGAGAAGCCATCTAGTTGAATCATTGGCTACGTTATCAGTCCTCCTATCCTAAAAAAGGGCTCAGTAGGCAAAAGTAGACTTCTCCAATCATTCAGAGGGACTTTAACTCTTCCTGAGGAATGTCAAGGTGTTCCCTGTCTGAAGAGAAGCCCTAGTCCCACCACAATGTCCTGGTTTGTTCTTGGATCAAGATCAAGAGCCCTCTAGTTGAACCATCGTCTACGTTATCAGTCTTCCTATCTTAAAAAGGGGTCAGTAGTCATAAGAAGCCTTCTCCAGACACTGAGAGGGAGTTTAGCTCTTCCTGGGGAAACTCAAGGTGTTCCTTGTCTGAAGGGAAGCCCTAGCCCCACCACAACGTCCTGGTTTGCCCTTGGGGCTGCTCCTAGCTGGACATACCAGGAACAGCTCAAGCCCAAACTATCATCCGAGCCACCTCCACTGGAACTTCTCAGGTTGAAAAAAAGACCATCAGGTCTTCATGAAAACCCTTCTGGTTCTCCTAACTTATCCTGTCTCCTATGGGTGCAATAACCGGCCAAGGGTGACTGGTCTTGTCTCTGCCCCCCCTGTAATAAAGACCGCTCAATGCTCTCTCTCCTTGTGCAGGGTGACTGGCCTTGTCTCTGCCCACTCCTGTAGTGTTCTGCTGAGGGTGGGGCCTGCTGGGCCCCTCCCACAGCTCTGCTCAGGCTATGTACAGCAGAGTGATGATGTCACTGATACATATGATTTAGGAGTTTTTTCTCCTACAATAAACCAATATGGCGCTACACTTCTGCTGTGATGTGTGTGTGCTGCTCAGCTTGGTGGATGTGGGACAGTAAAGTAGGGGGGACTCTCCTGCAGTAAGAGGGGTGCTTGTCATATACAGCGTGGTCATTAGTACCCGGCATCAGCGGCCAGTGGTTCCCGGGACCAGGCGTACGGCAACAATGGACGTTCCCCTATTGCCTCCCCTATGACGGCTCTAGCGCCTCCTGCAGGTCACCCCATTTACAGCAACACCTAATGCATCCCATCGATAGTAGCCGTACGTCCAACCGACCGCCATCCCAAAGGGTCACCCGTAAAGCACGAATGAGGTGGGCAATGTAAACACTGACAGGAAATACAAAATGGACAATGAGGGGTCAAAAGTAGAATGAATTATATTTATCTGTAGATATAAACCACAAATAGCATGAATGTAATAATGATAAGAAGATATTATTACCTTTTCTTCTCTGTGGACAGCCTGACATCCCCACCAGGAGGATTCTGGGACTTACACAGCTCCTTCCTTCCTCTGAATGGGCTACAACAAAATGGCTGCCCCCCTCAGCCGAGGACCCTTCCCCACTTCACAGAGGACGTCCCTCCATTCACAGCTATTGAACTCCACCGGTGACCAAACTCACGCTCCCCTCGCCCTATTAGGCACTCGGCTGTCTCCGCTAAGGGCCGACTACTCCGCAGGAAAAAGAAAAACCGGCTGGTCTACAAGAAAATGGCCGCTAGGCTTTTGAGGTTCGGCGGCCATTTTGTTGTAGCCCAATGATGAAAGAACTGGAGGGAGTGCTGGGTTGTAGCTGAAGAGTGTGTGTGCAGTGAGGAGTAGGTAAGAATGTCTTCTTATAATAAGATAAGGATTGAGGGGAAGGGGGAGGAGTCATGTGAGATAAAGGGAAGGGTCACGTGACTGTAAGTAGGTCACCTGATTCTCTAGGAGGGTTACTGGTAGTATAGAGGGGGCAGGGGCTGGTGGTAGGGTTGCCACCTGTCCAGGATTCACCTGGACAGTCCAGGTTTTGAATGCTGTGTTCGGGTTTCATGGCAGCAGAAACCCGGACACAAGATATCAAGCAGGCAGGGGCAACCAAAATTAAGATAGGGGCTACTGGCCCCCCCCACCTCCCCCCACTGAAAATAGCCTCAACTGTGATATTTACATATGAATAGGTGGCACTATTTACATATGACTAAGCCATGTCTCCTTCTCCCAAAAAAATGTTCGTGTGTCGCTAGAGTGTTCGGGTTTCACATGAAGAAAAGGTGGCAACCCTAGCTGGTGGGCCGGCGTGGAGCTTCAAAGAGCAAGGGGCGTGGCTGTGAGGAGGACGGGCGATAAAAAGCGCTTTCGCCGCAGCACTGGGGTTTGAGAAATGGCGACGTCTGCGGACAGATGTTTGCGATTGTTCAAGAGAGGACAGGTACTCTTTACCTGCTGCGTGTCGTGGTTCCATCCAACGACCCCTACATAACTACAGGGCTCAGCTATTTTAGGTGACAGGTCCACTTTAATCATGTTGGCTTCCTATCTTCTCTTCAGGCGTGGTGGCCCCCCGGAATCTCATTAGATTGTCAGCCATCTTCCTATCTGGAACTCCAGCCAAAGAAGGACATCGTTCAGAGAAATGTGGAGGCCCCGAGAGGGATTTCTGGACGGAGAACTTCAGGAGCAGGAAGACGAACCCCAAAAGACTCTCCGTACACGGGGTACATCTGGCATTGAGGAGGAGGCCTGCTTACCTGGAGGACATCCCCCCCACCAGTCCACACTAACCTATCATACAGAGCCTCCATCTATGCATATTAAGGAGGAACCCTGCTCTGGTGAGGAACATCACCACCAGCATGACATCTCCACCCCGACCTATCATTCACAGGCCCTGCCGACACATATTAAGGAGGACCCGCTCTCACATGAAGAACAGTCCCTCTATTATGGTGACACTTGCCTTAGAGCGGACGATCTGAAATATGTAACTGTTTGTGTTAAGGAAGAATCTGATGAGGAAGAATTCCGGCACCTTGAGTGTCCTCCTCCAGAACAGTCTATATCTATGTCCATCAAGGAGGAACCCCTCTCACGTGAAGACCATCTTCCCCATCATGACCTCTCCACACATCATACACAGTCTCCATCTACTTATATTAAGGAGTCATGTGAAGACCATGTCACCCATCCTGATCTTTCCACACTTCATACAAAGCATCTATCTACTCATATTAAGGAGGAACCCGTCTCATGTGAGGACCATCTCCCTCTTCCTGACCACTCCCAACATCATGCACAGCCTCCATCTACTCGTACCAAGAAGGAACCACTCTCATGTGAGGACCATCTCCCTTTCCCTGACCATCTCCCTCTTCCAGACCACTTCCAACATCATGCACAGCCTCCATCTACTCGTATCAAGGAGGAACCCATCTCAAATGAAGAACAGTCCCTCCCACATGCTGACACCTACCCCGGGCCTGACAACCTGCAATATGTAACTGTTTGTGTTAAGGAAGAATGTTATGAGGAAGAATTCTGTCACCCCGGCTGTCCATCCACCACTCAATCTATACCCACGTACATTAAGGAGGAACCCATCTCATGTGAAGAACCCCTGACCTATCCTGACATTGCCACTGGCAAGAGACAGACACCGAATGCTCTGCCACCTGAACACCACCAGCTGCTGTCCACAAGCACGGCAGGAGGTCCTGATGGGGTGCCGTGTTTGTCCCCTGGTGGTGGACAATCTCCCAGTCTGACGGAAGGGCAGAATGGTCGTACGACCACGAAGAAGACATTAGAGTGTCCTGAGTGTGGGAAAGTTTTCCAGCGGAACTACCAACTGGTGGAGCACCAGAGGCGGCACTCGGGGGAGCGCCCTTACCAGTGCACCGAGTGCGGCAAAGGGTTTGTTAGAAGGAGCCACCTTCAGATGCACTTTAAGAACCATTCTGGGGAGAAACCCTTTCAGTGCCCTGAGTGTGGGAAGCAGTTCATCCAGAACTCTGAACTCTCCGCCCATCTACGGAGGCACCGGGGTGAGAGGCCCTTCCAGTGTCCAGAGTGCAGTAAGTGCTTCGCCACCAACTCCCACCTCGTCACGCACTCGCGGACCCACACGGGTGAGAAGCCGTTCGGGTGCCCAGAATGCGGGGCCTGCTTCCGAACCAACGGGCACCTCAACCAGCACCTGAGGATCCATGCCGGGGACAAACCCTTCAAGTGCTCTGAGTGTGGGAAAGGCTTCCTGTGGAAAGGACAGCTCGACCTCCATCAGAGGAGCCACACGGGGGACAGGCCCTACGAGTGCCCTGACTGCGGGAAGCGATTCGCTGCCAAGTACAAGCTGGAGGCCCATCGGCGATCGCACACAGACGAGGCGCTGAGGTGCACCCACTGTGGGAAGGCCTGTCGGGATAAGGAGACTTTGGTCGTCCACGAGCGGGTCCACACGGGGGAGAAGCCCTTCGGGTGCCCGGAGTGCGAGAAGAGCTTTTCCAGCACCGCACTCCTGACATTACACCAAAGGGTTCACACCGGAGAGAAGCCATATCATTGCCCCGAATGCGGCCGGAGCTTTGCCCAGAACTCCACTTTACGCCGCCATCTCGCTGTGCACAGGAGAAGAATGCAGGAACTGGATTCCGCACCGTGAGGTGGATCATCTGGTTACAATGATCCATCGGGAAAATCTTTTTGAACTTTTGGAGAAAGCTGTAATGTTTCTCCAGTGCGAAGGCCTTGGAACTTTATCAATGGAGGGGTCGGTCTGGACAAAGAGGACCAGTCACAATCTGGCACTTTGTAGGTCTCATAGGTTCTTTTGTCCAGGAGTTGGGGAACCCCTGGAAGATGCCAAGGACAACAACTTTTTGAAAATATCCAGCATTACACAGAGTCTTCCAGACATTCTGTTCCATATTCTGTCTTTGTTTTTGGAATAAAATGTATTTTTGAGGTATCAGTGGCTCCGCCTCCCTCATTCCTTGGCCTGCTGTAAAATCATCTCCCAGATGTATGTAGAGATCTAAACAGATCCATTATCAGAAACCAGAAAAATAAATCTGTTTGGAGTTTCCTGAGAGAAGGGGGAGTTCAAGTGTGGTGGGTGGTGAGAGAGGAAGGAGTTCAGGTGTGGTGGGTGGTGAGAGAAGGGGGAGTTCAGGTGTGGTGGGTGGTGAGAGAAGGGGGAGTTCAGGTGTGGTGGGTGGTGAGAGAAGGGGGAGTTCAGGTGTGGTGGCTGGTAAGAGAAGGGGGAGTTCAGGTGTGGTGAGAGAGAAAGGAGCTCAGGTGTGGTGAGAGAAGGGGGAGTTCAGGTGTGGTGGGTGGTGGGAGTTCAGGTGTGGTGGGTGGTGAGAGAAGGGGGAGTTCAGGTGTGGTGGGAGAAGAAGAGTTCAGGTGTGGTGGGTGGTGAGAGAAGGGGGAGTTCAGGTGTGGTGGGAGAAAGGGGAGTTCAGGTGTGGTGGTAGAAGAAGAGTTCAGGTGTGGTGGGTGGTAGGAGAAGGAGTAATGGTGAGAAAAGGGGGGGAATGCGGGCATGGTGGGATGCTAATTTTAGGCTACAACTAAGAGGGGAAACTAAACCTCCATTTTACTTCCTGTCAGTGTTTTTTACAATAACTACAGGAAAACTTCAACTGAACCCCACCCCCCACACCAAAGCAACACACAACACCCCATGTCTCAATTCATAAACCAACATTTTATTAACAGTTATCAAATCCTATAACTTGCAGTACAATATCTCATCCAAACATATTCAGTGATGGATTTCCACGCTCTCTGACCATGAAAAAGGACGCTGACTGGTGTGAACTCTCTAGTGTAGAAGAAGTTCTCCTCGGGGAGTGAAACGTTTCCACACCCTGAACATGAATATTCAAGTTCCAGAAGTTGTGAGGCTTCCCTGGTGTGCATGAAGGTTCCCCACACTGAACGTGAATAAGGACAATCACCTGTGTGACCTCTCTGGTTTCAAATAGGTTTGTTGTACTCAGCTAAAGTGCTTTCCTCGGAGAGCATTGAGAGACACAGGAATTCATTAACCATCGGATCAATCCAAAAGAAGTCCAACTGAGTGGAGGGCAACAGCTAACAACTGATGACAGGATGTGAACAAAAACTGGGGAATGCCAGTAGATTAACAGCCACCTGAAGGACCAATGTCCGAATGTGACACCAGATGAGGCCAAATCCCCTATTTGGTGAGAGAAACATGGCAACAAGGCCGGGAGGAGATGATGGAGAACCAAGCTTGTTGCCCAAAGGCCAAGAAAAATGTTCTTATAACCAGTGAGAAATGACTTGACATCAAACCATAGGCCATAAGTGTGAAGGTGGGCAACATGATCCAACAAGAAGGGTAGAACAAGTCCTCAACACCCGATGCTCCTGCAAATTCCTGACAGGGAAAAGACCTACAACCTAAGTGTGGTCAACAAGCAGAGACAAAGCTCCTTTCTACGCTGGTACTGGCCAGGAGAACCTAGGAAAGATGTCTGGGTAGAAGGAAGAGCAGCCGGTCTAAGTAGGAAATACCCTAAGCCTCAATTCACCTGATCTCATAAGAATCAAAGAACAAGGAACCCAATGCCTAGAATGACAGTCAGGACAGACAACCACCTCATCAAGGTGAGACTTATCAAGGCGGAACCCTGAGAATGACTTGAATAAACAGAACCTTCAAAGGGTATAATAGTGGCTCCTGAGTCCACCTAAGGAACCCAGGATTCGATCCTACAAAGTCAGCAAAGGATGAAGGTGCATGGGAAGTACCCCACAATGGTAGGCAGGATATTGAAGTTAGAATTCCTAACTGTAGGCTGGGGAAAGGACTAAAACCCTAAAGGAGCCCAGGACCAAGCTCAACATCCTCCTATTAGCAAGGGAGAGGTAAACCCTACGAGAAAAATCTGCAAGAACCTCGAAGAGTCACAGGCCTAGGGTTGCTCCAGTCCTCCCAGATCCAAAGAAGCGTCATAATCCATGGAGCAAAAAACAGGAATCCTCCTCAGGAAAATAAAGAATATTCACCGGGGTAAACCCCCAAAAAGGGTAGAGCACCAGAAAAACCTGCAAATCAGCCAAGGAAGAGGGGCCTAAGCCCAGGTTAACAGCTCCCATGGATTCATTAACGCATTCCCTGTTCCCATCAGGGAATACCTGCAGCAGAAAGCTAGCTTGTTCAGCGTGCAGACAGCCCAGGGTCATAGGGATGCCATATGCTCCACCCACAATGCAGGGTCAGGGATGACACTTATTGTATGGAGCGCTCCCCGATGTCCAGAGGAACCAACTGGAAAAAGCTGACCTCCACCAGATCACAGTTAAAGGGATCAGCGTGGACAAGTCTAATCAGGAAACCAAAGTACCAAGAACTCCTATTTCTCCTTAATGGTGAAAACACGAGTCTTCCCTACAAGAAGTGTCCAAATCAGGAGACCTAACCAGGGAATGATCCCATGATGTAGGAGGAACCACCTCTTCTGGAAATGCAGAATGTAGCCCAGGAGATGAAAATTCTCTGACAGGATCCTCTCGAAGGTGATGAGAGAAATCAACTACATGGTTGGAAGACTGAGTAATCAGGCCAGGAACTACCTGATCATCAGAGACAGAGGAGCTAGATTTACAACAGTAGAGGAAGGAGCTGAGGTAGCCTGAGAAGAGACTGGAGAAATGGAGGGACTTTGGAAAGGAAGGCCCTCAACATCTGATGGTCCTGTAATAGTAGCATCAAAAACACAGACGTCTGGTGGACGGTGAGGGTTGGATGACCGAAGGTGTAGAAGGGTAGTAGGAACGGAATGGAGATCCAAGTTCCATGTAGCTCTTTGCAAAGCAGGAGCAGCAGTGGGATGAAGCTTCCTCCATGCTGAATGGCGGGAAAGAGAGTGTGGCATGCTCACGTAGACGACACTCCACCCAGATGAGGACTTAGTCCTTCAGCGGGAGATTCAAACCGCGCAGTGCTCTAAGTAATGGTGCATAACCCCATCTGCCTACTGGGAAGTTGAGTCTTCGGAAACAGGGCAAGCACTGAGACAATGCCAATGGCTCTGCACCTGCAACGTGCTCCCCGGCTAACATGTTACCAGAGCTGGGTCTACAAAGTTCCTAAAACCAGTACCCAAGGGTGACTTTCAGGATAGCCCCACAAGGTCCAGACCAATGACGCCCAGGTACGGAAATACAAAGCCAGGTTGAGGAAAAGTTAATGACTTCCTGTGTCTCTCAATGGATGAGAAAATAAGTTTTCTGACATTAATAAAGATGCCCAATTGTATGACTCTTTTTGTAATCAGATAAGCCTTCCCCTCACTCTAAAAAAGGATGCACCTCCGTGTGAATTTTCTGGTGACTAAGAAGTCTTCTTCTCTGAGAAAAACTTTTCCCGCACTCAGAACATGAAAAAGCATGCTCACCTGTGTGAATTCTCTGGTGTACAAGTAAGTTTCCTTTTCGACTGAAACCCTTCCCGCACTCTGAACATGAATAAGGCTGTTCACCTGTGTGAGTTCTCTGGTGTGAAAGAAGGATTTTTTTCAGAGCAAAACATTTTCCGCAGTCTGAACATGAATAAGGACGCACATCCGCGTGCATTTTTTGGTGTGTGACAAGGTTTTCCTGCCGGATAAAACTTTTCCCGCACTCTGAGCATAAATAAGGCTGAACATCAGTGTGAATTCTCTGGTGTACAAGTAAGTTTCCTTTCTGAATGAAACCCTTCCCACACTCCGAACATGAATGAGGATGCTCGCCTGTGTGAATCCTTTGGTGTTCAAGAAGGATTGTTTTCCGAGTGAAGCGTTTTCCGCAGACTGAACACGAATAAGGACGCACATCTGTGTGCATTCTTTGGTGTGAAAGAAGGTTTTCTTTCCGGGTAAAACTTTTTCCGCACTCTGAACACGAATAAGGACGCACATCTGTGTGCATTCTTTGGTGTGTAAGAAGGCTTTCTTTCCGAGTAAAACTTTTTCCGCACTCTGAACATGAATAAGGGCGCACATTCGCGTGCATTCTTTGGTGTCTATAAAGGCTTTCTTTACGAGTGAAAACTTTCTCGCAGTCGGAACATGAATAAGGATTCTCACCCTTGTGACTTGTCTGGTGGGTAAGGAAGTCTCCTTTTCTAGTGAAGGATTTCCCGCACTCTGGACATGTATAAGGACTCTCCACCTTGTGAAGTCTCTGGTGTATAAGGTCTGCTTTCTTTGTGAAAGATTTCTCATCCTCTGAACATGAAATGCTCACACTGCTGTGAGAGCTGAGATGTAGAAGTTCACATTTCATCTCAAAAGGGTTCCTACATGACAATCTCTTGTCTATGTGAGCTTCATGGCTTGAAGATGCCCTGGGATAAGGTGGATCTGTTGATCTATCTGCAATGGGAGAACTTAGGTGGACATCTGAAGTCATAGTATGGGGTTTATGAGAAGGTTCCTTGGATTTTAAAGTCTCCATTGACCTGTGTGCCCTGTGAGAAGTCATAGTATGGGGTATATCAGAAGGTTCCTCAGGCTTTGAAGGCTTCATTGACCTGTGTGCCCTGTGAGAAGTCATAGTATGGTGGGTATCAGAAGCTTCCTCAGATTTCGAAGGCTCCATTGA